ATCCGCACCCAACCGGATATCACGGCGTGTATCTCGGCCTGTATCGGTAGCGGATCAGTGATTATCGGGGAAGAAGATTTTTACCTTTCTTAGAGTATTGTACTTAGGGTAAAACTCTCCTACTATATAAAGGGAAAGTTATTTTTCAATACACATACTGTGACACGCATATCAAGGCAATATAAACTTGTTTTCTCTGTTTCTAAGTTATTCAAAGGTTCTTATTCTTGTTCATAACTTTTCATATATATTGGCTACGAATCGAAGGCAGATAAATCGTTAACCCCACAACCGAGCTCGGATTCAATACTACCGCTGGTTTGGCGATTTATTCTATATTTTTATTTGCTTATCTAATATTATTAATTACTTGTATCGGATTAATCTACACATCCTTAAAACCGCGTATAAATTTAATTGTTATCGATTTTAAGAGAAAACACATACTAAAATGAAACCTTTCACCATATACTAATGTAAGATGGAAGTTTTGCCACTAACCTACGATTATTAAAAAATAACCGCAAACCCTGTCGGAGGAGCCGGGGGCCGAGTTTAGCCTTAAGCATATGAGTTCTTGTCAAATCACTAGCTTTTGTTCATGCTCTATATTTATATTGATAAATTTATTATATATCTATAAATATTTAACTGTAAATCTAATTATTATTGTATATATAACTTGAGGTTGCAACTGGAAGTCTAGTAGTATCTCATTAATGCCTCCTTTATTTCTAGGCTGTGATTCTTGTTAAATGGAGTAGTATGTACATGGTTTCAGTGGTAAAATACTTGCATTCTTGTGTTATAAATGATCATTATTATCCCTTCTAAAGTTGTTTTGGAAACTTTTTGCAAAAAGTAAAGACATTTCTTTTATAGTAACTTTGAAGACGACCATAAGATTGAACTCACATGGATAGACATTAAAACTTAGATAAAAGAAAAGTTCACAAAACCATGTCGGGTGGTGCCGACAGTACATTTTCGAATAATACAATATATTGCCTATAGAAGCCGGCAAATCACCTCAATTGGAATGAAAACATATGGCAAATTTAAGGTTAACGAGCTCCGAAATTTCGAAGCCAAAATGTTAGGCTTTATTTTTAGGACATGTCACATGAGCAAACAAACCATTCAATTAGGGTTGTACATGGATCGGGTTGGTTTGGTTTATATCAAAATCAAACCAAACCAATTATATCGGTTTGGATTGGTTCGGTTTTGTCGGATTTTTTGTTACTTAAATATTATTTCAATCTTACTTTGTAAAATTGTTGATAAGTAAATATATATGTAGTAAAAATTTGACAAACATGTTATCTATTAAAATATTCTTATGGGAGAATTTACTTAGTAACACATGATAGTCATCTTTTTAGTCGTCTGACAATAATTTATTTGTTGATGTATACTTTTAAGGTTAATCGAATTTAGTAATTAAACATAAAAATCAATATGATACCTAAATAATAATAATCACTTCAAATTCGAAAAAGATATAAGAATTTAATAGATCTTGACATATGAATATGGAAGAACAAAGAGATTGAAGCATTTCAGTGACACTTGATAAGAAAGTGATCATACAACTCATTATTTAAGGTTAATAAATATAGAGCACTTCATATTCTATTAAATATATATCACGTAAGAGAATCCCAAATATTTCTAGACATTTTTAAAGAAAATTCTATATAAAATTTTAAAAATATATACAAAAATCATATATTTATATGTCGGTTTGGTTCGGTTTTTTTTATTCAGTACCAAACCTAGTCGGGTTTTTTAATCGGTTTGGTTTGACTTTTCAGTTTGGTGCGATTTTCCGATTCGCTTTGTACATCCCTACATTCAATATTTCACGTTTTCCGATTCGATTTGTACGTCCTCCATTTATTTCACGTTTTAAATGTAAGAGCCCGATACTATTTTCATTAGATTTTGATAACTCAAAAGGGTAAAAGAAAATAGAAAACTTGACCACAGTTAGAAATTCTTGAGTAATTTTTTTTTCCATCATATTATTGACAGATATTATCTGTGTGAGTTTGCCCACATTATCGACCGCGAAGAAGCTTGTAGTACGTAAATCAACAACCTAACATAAAACTAATCAAATAATGATGAATTCTCACAACATAAAATACGTTTGAACATGTTCATCTAGATGGTGATAGACTTGAACATAAATTTGATTGTGAGAATTTATATATAATATATTGGATCCTAATTTGCTTGAGTCAATTTAACAGAAGAGTAGTGAACGTGACACTCGTTCGAGTTATAACTTTTGGACTGTCCTTGTGAATATTTGAGCAAACAAAATAGTAGTAACAAGCAAGTGATGAACTGGCAATTGGTAAGGGTAAGATACTCTATATCTAAGAAAGACACGTCAATATTTACGTGTCAAATTCACGGATATCAGGGAAGTTTGTTAAGTAATAAAACAAATAAACAATCAGCCAGCTATTTATTCCTAGTAAATAAAGACAGAAGGAAAACTTACAAATTCCTTCCTTGTACAAATAAAATAAAATAAAGTAGTAGTCTAATTAATTAGAATAAAATTGGATAAATAACAAGAAAGTTGAGCAAAGACATAGGGTAGTTAACAAGTCACATAAATCAAATTCAAACCAGTAGGTTGTGCCACCAAACTACACATCAATATTTCCTCTTTTTAATTTATTTAATTTAATGCAGTCATGTTCATGTTCATGTTTCCCAACTTCCACTTGAGAATACACTCTTACCACGTACTAATAATTAAGACCTCCATCTTCATCTTCACCCATCTTTATTACACTTCCAGCAACTAACTCATTAATTACATCTACTCTTTTGCCCTTCCTCTCTCTCATTTTGTCAAAATACATAGCTTTAGGGTTTCTATGATTTTACTTTTTATTTTTGTCATAGTGTCCTAGGCTACTTTACGACCACCTATTTCTTTTACTATGTTAAAGTAAGACAGTAACACGAATTTGCTTTTATTGACCTTTTTTAAAATTATCAAAGCTTATAGTTTTGTGATAAATGTGAAAATTTCTCGCGCAATGTGTAAATTCAATTCTCACAGTGTCCTTGTACCTTATTTTCCCCTTCCTTCCGTGTAACAGATTTTTTTTTTTTAAGCAAAAAAAATATGTGTTCATTATTAATCTGTCAAATTTGAAAATTGTGACTTGGTTAAAACATAATTGACTTTGTGAAATTTATGACAGGTGCTGTATTGTCTTTCGCTCAAGAAAAGAAAATCATTTTGCATTCTTGTTCTTTTTTCCCTTCAAGGGAGACGTAAAAGTGTGTCCATTTTTTGGTTTGGGGTTGGGGTTTTGGGGGGGGGGGGGGGGGTGTTTAATTAAACTTTTCATTAATCATGACCAAGTGAGGAAATTACAAAACAAGCTTAGCTTCGACAGCTAGTTCCTCTTGAATAAGCCTTTCTTAAAATCTTATGGATTATGTCTTAATAATGTGCAAAATCTGCTGCTTATGCAGTTAGCGATAACAATTTACTAGTTTGCGACCACTGCAGTCATTAATGGAAGAAAAATTAGGCCTGTATTAATTAGTGCGCAAGCTGTAAAATTTAACTCCTAGCTGTCTTTATTTGCAGACATTTCTAACATTTTGGTGAATTTAAACGTCGATTTTTTTAAATAATCACTGTACTTATAAAAAATCTCGAACTACGTACTGCAATTAACGCAGTACTTTATATATATAAATAGGTCTGTCTTACATATTTAAGATCTTCAACTTACTGTATAAACAATAATAGAGGAATTCCTTTTCCAGTAATTCTGCTGAAGTTTGCATTTATATCATGGACAACCAGCGAGATTAAAAAAGAGGTCGAAGAAAATAACAATGGAGTTGTTAGATATTTCAGTACAAGACACAAAGTTAAAGAGCATGCAGATAGAGTTGACTGTATTCAATCTACTCCTTGTCGGTGTTTACTAACTTCGACGACAGATAAGGTTACCAAAAGGGACAAATGGTTTCTAGACCCTCACATTCCTACTCAAATTTATCTCTATTAGGGGTACTATCGGAATTTCATGGCCAACAACTTGTAATACATTATCTAAACAGTTTTACTTACCTACAGTGACAGTCTAAAATAAGTTTTTGCATTATCAAATCATTCAATTACAACTGTTCATAACAATCGAGTTAAAAAGCACTCTAAGATAGACAACCTGTTGTAGAATGTTGATTAACATATTAAATTTTACTGTCAGTATATAAACATGTAGATTAACATATTAAATATTACTATCAGTATATAAAAGCAGAGACGGAATGAGGAGTTAAAGTTTATGATTTTTAATTTATTTTTTTTAAGTTAGTGAGTTCTAAATTAATAAGTTATATATATTCAATGCATTTTGTAAAACTAATACAAAATTTGAAACAAACATTTATTTAAAACTAATACAGAATTTGAACGGTTGAGAATGAGGTATTAAGGTTGACAGGTAATCGAAAAGTTTGTCCTAGTCTTACCATTAGTAGTCGTATTATTCTTGTATTTTCGTATATCTAGATTTTCTTTAATATACGTTGTGTATTCGCTTCCGTTATCCAGTCACCTTGTTGTTATTGTTCGTTGCTTCCTTTTCACTGTTCGTTGAGCCGAGAGTCTAACAGAAACATCTATCCTTTTCACTGTTCCTCGAGCAAAAGTATGCGATCCCCTTTTTTGTTTTACAGTATTTGAATTAAAATTACTAAATTCGATCAAACAGTTAGCTGACACTCATGGGTGGAGTATGTGAAAAACAGAGAAAACAACATAACAAATATTTTGAGTAACAATGTCACAAGAGGCTGATCCAAGACACTAAAACTAAACTGGTCTTTTGGTACTTGATTTCCAGGCCTTAAGAATATATCAATAGTCGACAGAAAGGTTTCCATATTGCCACCTCTTATAGTTGGTGAGAAAATATACAATGCTTTATACCTTGACAGATTCTCAATAGAAAAAGACAATGGAGATTTATATTGTGAAAAAGCAGCATGCTGCTATACTATTCAACTTCAACTAAATTCCGTGATTAAATGTTTCAACGACAAATTCTTCTTACAAAAGAATATAGCCCAAAAGAAAAAAAGAATCCAGAAGATATAAAGAAATTACATGAACAGAGTGGGAGGGTGGGTGCTTCAAAATGAACACTATCACCATTCTTAATGGTTTTCTCTATTCAAAGCTGCTGCATTTTCTTAACCATCTGCTCTTCTTGTCACAGCTTTAAGGGTTGGCAGAGAGGGAATTAAGTGCAATCAGCTCTCCACATATTTTCCCCATTCTTCTTCTTCTCATTTACATGAATGTACCAAGGTCAGGTTCAGCATCTAATTTCCAACTTGACTTTTCAGTTGAACTAATATATCCCTAACCTATGAACCCTACACCAGCGATTTAATCGACCTGCTCACCGATCAAGTCTAGTCCAACCAGCAGGAATGATATACCTTGAAACAGCAAGAAGTAAAAGTGGATTCCTTGAGCTGATAATAGGCTCCTCACCGAAGCTGTCAATAGCAAGAAAGCCAAGGCCAATTCTTTTGTATATATTCTGTTGTGCTTCTTCTTCTTTGATGCCTTTTTCTCCTTCTCCTTAATTTCCTCTCTCAATTCCTCCAAATCAGGCACTGAAACGCCTCGTTGGTGTTTCGGTTTTTCCTCGACTAACGAGGCAAGGTCGCCCTCCGAGGAACGCCCTGATTTCTTGGTGACTACCCATTCGTATGCACTTCCGAGTTGGAAGAGTCCTGAGACCATGGCATTGAACTTGGTAACGGACATGGTGTTCTCGAATAGAAGGTATGGAACGATGAAAGGGAAAGATTTAGGCGCCGGAAGTATATTGAGGAATGACATAGTGGCGGGGATGTAACAGACAACCCACGATGGGAGTGTTGCCTCAGGAATGAACATTGTCATTGGGAGGATTATGCAAAACAAAGTGAATGAATAAAATGGCAATATCAGCTTCCTCAAAAGGAAGAAAAGGAATATCAAATTGCCCTTCTTCCAAATGCTTATCTGCATTAACCAAATTGCATGCATTATTGCTTAGCCAAAACATCCAAAAATATGCTAACTTAACAAACAGAATTGGAGATCACTTAAGTGGAAGCATTCAGAATATGATCATATTATACCTTTGATTTAATGATGGCAGGTAAGCAGAGACGGAACAACTGCATTGGCCCCGAATGCCATCTATGTTGTTGCTTCCTATACGCTTCATATGATTCCGGTAACTCACATTGGCACTGAAGTATTAACAAATTCTATTAAGCTTCACTCAAAACAGAGGATTTACAATAAAGGGATACCGGAGATTATAGCTTCTAGCAGTGAGTTTACCTCAACATCATTAAGAAAGACGAATTTCCAACCGTGAAGATGAGCCCGAACTGCAATGTCCATATCTTCAACAGTAGTTCTTTCTAACCAACCACCAGATTCTTCTAATGCCTTTATCCTCCATACTCCAGCAGTCCCATTAAAGCCAAAGAAATTCAGGAAAATACCATTCACCTGCTGCTCCACTTCAAAATGAAAAGCCAAATTAATGTGTTGCAGTCTTGTTAGTAGATTTTCATCCTTGTTCACAAAAGACCACCTTGCTTGAACCAATCCTAGGTCCTCATTATCCTACAATTGAAAGTCAAAAGGATACATAAACTTAATAAAACTAACACTCATATGAACACATTTTACACTAAGTGATAGCAGTATTAGAATCATAGAAGCATATAATAAAACCATACAAATATCACATGGGGTTAGAATCCAAGATTGAAGAAAATTGGATACCTTGAAATAAGGAACGGTTCTTTTAAGAAAATCAGGAGTTGGCTGAAAATCAGCATCAAAAATGGCAACAAATTCATAATCTTGGACATAGCTGCAATTCATTGCTGACTTAAGGTTACCAGCTTTATAACCTTCTCTAATCACTCTATGCCTGTATATTATATTAGCACCTTCCTTTTGCCATTTATGCACCTCCTCTTTGATCAATGTCTGAGTAGTAGGATCATCAGAATCATCAAGAATTTGAATCAAAAACCTTGATTTAGGCCACTCCAAACAACACACAGCAGCAATAGATTGCTGATAAACCTGAGATAACAATTCCCACCGACACAAAATTTCACAGCAACATTAATACAACCACCGACAACATAAAAATGAGTTGTTTAAAAATAATCTTGGAAATTTTAAAGTTTACCTCTTTTTCATTACACATAGGGATCTGAACAAGAACCATAGGGTAGTAACCACTAGCATCACCAGATTCCAGATCCAGTGGACCCTGTTTAGCCACTGGCTTAATCTTCTTAATCTTGATCCAAAAACACCCTAAACACAGTACTAATCTATCCACACTCTGGATAAGGAAAAGCACAATGCAAGCATTGGCTAAGAATTGAAGAGGAGGGGCAAGATATTCCACTCTAATCAAAACCCACTTAGAATAAAACGAATCAAACACACTCTTCACAGCTAATGGATTTGCGAATGTGTGAAAATCCAAAGAGTATAAATACTGCAGTTGAAGATCTGGAGCACTAAAGTGCCAGCCTTTAAAATATGCAGCTATTTCAAAACCTAACAAGATTACCGACAACCAAAGGAAGATCTTTATGCAAGTGTAGAACCGGTTCTTGCCAGCTGGGTTGTCGGAGTCAGTCCTCCCGGAGGCTATACGGCGGCGGACGGCGGCGCCGAGGCTCAACAATGCTGATGCTATGGAAGTTAAACAACCAGCAGCTTTATGAGCTTTGAGTAAAAGAACCCAAGTGAGCTGTTTAGCATTCTTGTTTCGGACTTTTTCACGTTTGTATGGAGACATTGAAACATCATCGTTTGGTAATAAAAAGTCATCCTCGGACGGTCCTTCAAGCTCAACCATTGACCAATTGTTTGGATTTTCCATTTTTACTACTACTGGTGTACCCCTATGAGTCTCTTTAGCCCACCAGTTAAAAGATGGTGCCATTTGTTGAGTTCTTGAATTAGACCCAGATGGGAAAATGAGCCTTACAAGTTGTAAAGATTGTAACTTTGAGTATATTTCAGCTCAAATTAACACAATGTGGGCAAACCCAAATGGAAAAAAAGTAAAGGGTCGTTGAGTTTAGCACACAAAAATGCTATGATGAGTCCATTGCAGAGAATCCACAGTAAAAGAGATAAGAAGAGACGCGTGTGAAGGGGAGGGTAAAAGATGTAAAGGCGTCTCTATTTCACGAAGACAGACAGACACAAAAACACACACACACGCAGTGGTTATAAGGGGATTATGAAATTTTGCAAAAGAGTATATTGAATGTAGAGAGAGAAAGAGAGGAGGAGGAGGAGGAGGAGGCTATAATGCTCTATGATTTGGTTGAAGATAGTACTACAGCCCCTTGGATTACAGCTTGCAGGGGAAAAATAAAAAGGGATTTCAGAATTTTTTTGTAATAGAAAAAGATGATTTATAGAAAGAGAAAATAAAGGCAAGAAGAATGGTACTAGTGTTGTTGTTTATGGTAACAGCTCAACACGTCTTTGATTTTGATTCCCAGTATTCAATAAAAATTGGAAAATCAAAAAATTTCAAAAGGAAATTGACAGCACGTTCTTTTGTTCAATACCACCACTCTTTTTTTTTTTTTTTGATTTTCCAAAAAAAAAAATTACCAGAGTGGTTTTATTCCTCTCCTTTTTTCACCCTTTCACATGACCAACAACATCAAAATGACCCAAAATCAAATCGGACATAAAACTTGTGGGCTATTATGTTTTCTCTTTCCTTTTCCACCTACTACTCCTTTATAATAATGCATATATAATAATGAATCAAAAGCAACACCCCAGAAAAAAGAATGAAAAAACAGAAGTGGAAACTACCATTACGGATATTATATTCATAATAATAACATAATACGTGGATATTTGTAGATAAACAGAGATTCAAATGAAGTTTTTAGGGTAAAAATATGGACTGTAAAAGATCTTAAGAAGCTTCAAGTCCTCCTTTCTTCCTACTGGGATGTAATATTTCTGCGTGTGAATTTCATAAGGTGAGAAATCAAGATTCAAGATCTGTCTTTTGGTATAGGACAATATCGTATCTAGCTAGATATCAAGGGATAAAATAGTGAGAATATATATATATATATATATATATATATATATTAAAATAGACAAAAGAATTTGATAGAAATACGGGTTTAGTATTTATTCACACACGAAAAGAATGTAGGAGGAGGATGAGATAAACCAGCTGAATTAGCTAATCATCAAACTTTAACTTGCAATGGCATAGTCATTAGAGAGATATAAGATCTGGGATTGTTTTTGCTGTAAATTCATATTTTTGTAGGAAAAAAAAAAGAAGAAAAAAAATGAAATCTATTTTGTAATTTGTTGTTTTGTTTTTGGTTAGGTTCGACATTCCTTGACCGAGAAAAGAGCGGGTCATGGCCGTCACCTAAGTGTTAATGTCCAAATCACCCTTGGGAAATGTTAGTTCTATCATACATGAAGAGATAATATCCTACGTCTTGACATTTAAAAAAATATATATTATTAAATTAATTTGACCAACAAATAATTAAACTCTTAATACAAGTGTAATATAATGATTTTAAAAACTTAAAATTTATAATACTATTGTACTGATAATTCTATATACTGTCAGTATACAATTTCAAACTCGTTCAAAAAATAAAATAAGATTGAAATAGAAGGAGTTAATAGTCATTACGCATTGTTTATCTACTTTTTCTTTCGTCTTAACCGGTTTTGTCTTTGTGGTGATAATAGTTTTCAATAATTAGCGTCATTCACGCTCGGCCAAAAAGACAATGCTCAAACGAAAACTTGCCACTTCACTATAGCGAAAATTTTGTAGGTATAAGAATTTAGGGGTGGGCCTCTTTTTCTTTCTTATATATTTTTTATTTTTAGGAATAACATCACTTCAAATTGTCTTTTATAATACTTTCCGAAAATAACGAAAGTTGCCTTGAACAAGTGGAGCTACAAAGCAGAAAGCTGCATCAAATCTTTCCTTTACTAAAGGTAAAAATTCAAAAAAATAGGGTAACATAATGTTACCTTTTAGAAGCATAGTACTCATGAAATGAGAAGTGTTCTACGTGTAGTAATAGGTACTTAATATGGTAATATGAGATCACTTCTTTTACCAACAACGAGGGGCGGCTCAATACTATTGGAGGCCTAAAGCCAAACTAGCATAAGAGGCCTCCTTTTCCCCCCCAAGAAAAAAAACAACTTTCTTATATACTATAATTTATTTAAAATCTAATCTTCTAGCTTTTTGAGATGCAAAATTATGAATAATTATTTTATTATAAATTTTTTCTAATAATTCTTTTTCAATAGGTAATATAGCTAATCCATTCAATCTTTCTTGCACCATGGTTGATTTTAAGTAACATTTTATCAATTTTAGTTTTAAAAACCTTCTTTCAAGTTTCTAGTTTGTGGTCGAGGGTGGCCAGAGGCAATTGTTACGGGAAGTAATATTATTATTCTATAAGCAATATAAGTATTTGAAAAAAAAAATCAAGTCTTTTTATCTGATTGTGTATATCGACTAGAGTACTAACATCTCTCTTTTTTGGGATTGTATCAATGATTCAAAAAAAAATTCTTAAGTTTTGAATAACCGGATTCATACTTTCTATTTGACATATTTAAATTTTGGTAAATACTAAAAGGATAATATATGCATACGTATTGAAATAGAAAGAAAAACAAATGTTAGATGAAAACTAATATTAAAAAGTTGGAATAGAAAAACCTGATTGATTAACTTGATGTGAAATAAATATTTGTTGTTTTCACAATATACTTCTCGTAGGTTTTAGCTTGATAGACGAAATAGACGAAAAATGCAGAACAATAGGATCTCTTGGAGGCACAAAAAGAAAAATATAATAGTAGTAATGATTGGTGAGAACTCAGAAACATTAAAAAAAAATATTGAATATTATGGATACCAATAGAAAGAAAGTGGAAAGATTTACATAATATTTAATAAGGAAAAGATATAATCACTTGATTCCTTTTATAAAATTTGCATTTACATGTTAGGGGCCCAATTTTAAGGAACATTGATATTTTTCCTTTTCAGGTTTTACCAAAATATGTAATAAAGTTAAAAAAATTTAATTATAAAAAAAAAAATTATAGGGTAAAAAGTGGGGCCCCCTAAAGTTGGGGGCCTAAAGCTTGAGCTTCAGTGGCTTTACCAAAAAGCCGCCACTGCCATCAATAACAACAATAACCCACTAAAATCTCACGAGTAGGGTGTGGGGAGTGTAGAGTATACATAAATTTTATCCCTACCCCGGAAGGATAGAAAGGCTGTTTCCGAAAGACGCTCGACAGATCACTTCTTTTACCGAAAAGAAATTATAATTGAATTTGAAAAAGGCAAAAGTTCATGAAAGTTATTGACTAACGTTTTAACATGTAAGATCAAACTTTTAATAAATTCAAGTCAACTTCTTTAATTTAGGAAAATGAATTTAAAGGAATGCGAAATTTATATTGCTAGAAATCAAACTTTTACGTCGGACTCTCCACCTTCCATGAAAATGCAATGGACTTAAAGACTTTACCTTAATTTTTCATTTGGATGTGCAATAATTCTATATCTAAAGATGTTAAGTAAAATATACCGACTTGTAATAAATATTTTGCATAGTTAATGTAATTTATTCTATTATAACATGTTATAAGAATATATTCGAACAAATAAAATTGTCCCCTTGAATATTATACCGGTTAGAGGCACACTTTAGATGATGTAGGAGCAGTAACAATTACAAAATTAAGAATTAAAAGAAAAACACAAAGCTAGTTACATTACGAATGACTATGAAACATTGGACTGATTAAATTATGAAGGTGTAGGACAACCATCTTAACTCTGAACCCAAGCACCGACAATTTGCGGTCAAATAGATTTGTTTACTACTTATAGTAGATGTATGGGTCAGAATCCGACCCCACGACAATTAACGAGGCTAATCCCGTTTTAAGTTAATTCATGATTAATTAGTGGCACGACCATTCAGAATTGACGACGTTCAACCCGCCTCTGGCCCGGTCAACAAGGCCCTGGCCTATCCGCCACTATAGAGGCGAGATCTCAACGTGGTCACGGCCACTTATTGCCAACTCGCGAAACCCACAGCTATAAATACCAAGAGAGGAGACCCTAGAAAAGGGGGCTGTTTCTTCACTACTATAGACAGGAGAGAGAAGGGAAAAATATACCCATCTTATGGGAAGAGAAAACACCATTGTAAGGCTCTGAACCTCTTCATGGAGAGGCAGACCAAACAAATATTATCAATAAAGGCTTTTAATGTTTCTCCCCCTAATTCTGAGTACTTATTTTCGTTTCTTTCATTTGGTCCAATGGATTATTACGATTTGCTATGATTTTCCCGTGATTATTTGTATTGTTTTGCACTCATAAGATATGTGATAACTTTTGAGCAAACAATTTGGGGCCGTCTGTGGGGATTTCATAGCAAAATCGCGTAGTTCTTCCATGGACCAAAAGGAAAGAAACGCCGGATGGGAAGAACAACCCAGCAAAATCAAGCCAAAGCGGCATATCAGGCCGATGGAACTCGAAGATCTCGAATCGAGGTCCGGTTCCTCTGTCCCTCATCTATCTAATGGTGCAAACAAGAAGAAGCAGAACTCGAAGATCTCGAATCGAGGTCCGGTTCCTCTGTCCCTCATCTATCTAATGGTGCAAACAAGAAGAAGCAGCCCCCCTTCTTTTGGGGAGAATCTTCGTAAGAGGTCCCCCACATCCCTGATAAGGGCTCCAGCCGGAAACCAGCACGGAGGAATCTCGAATCGAGAAGCGCTTCGAGACAGCCTACATACCCCGGTTGGGAAGATAACGATTAAGCTGCTCAAGATCTCGAATCAAAACCGAGCTTCAGCTCCCAAAAAACCACGAACCAAAAAATTTCAACAACAGTTGAACCGGGACTCAGGCCATGAGCCTTCGCCGTCAAAATCGAAACAACAGTTGAACCGGGACTCAGGCTATGCGCCTTCGCCATTATATCAAGGCTATGCGCCTTCGCCAAAAGTTCAACTACGGTTGAACCAAGACGGGCTACGCGCCTTCACCAACAAGTTCAACCACGGTTGAACCAAGACAGGCTACGCGCCTTCACCAGAAAGTTCAACTACGGTTGAACCGGGACTCAGGCCACGAGCCTTCGCCGTCAAAATCGACTAAGTTCAACAATAGTTGAACCGGGACTCAAGCTATGCGCCTTCGCCATTATATCAAGGCTATGCGCCTTCGCAAAAACTTCAACTACGGTTGAACCAAGACAGGCTACGAGCCTTCGCCATTATATCAAGGCTATGCGCCTTCGCCAAAAGTTCAACTACGATTGAACCAAGACGGGCTACGCACCTTCACCAAAAAGTTCAACTACGGTTGAGCCGGGACTCAGGCTATGCGCCTTCGCCATTATATCAAGGCTATGCGCCTTCGTCAAAGAGTTCAACTACGGTTGAACCAAGACAGGCTATGAGCCTTCAACAGAAAGTTCAACTACGGTTGAACCGGGACTCTGGCCATGAGCCTTCGCCGTCAAAATCGACTAAGTTCAACAACAGTTGAACCGGGACTCAGGCTATGCGCCTTCGCCATTATATCAAGGCTATGCGCCTTCGCCAAAAGTTCAACTACGGTTGAACCAAGACGGGCTACGCGCCTTCACCAACAAGTTCGACCACGGTTGAACCAAGACAGGCTACGCGCCTTCACCAGAAAGTTCAACTACGGTTGAACCGGGACTCAGGCTATGCGCCTTCGCCAAAAGTTCAACTACGGTTGAACCGAGACAGGCTATGCGCCTTCACCAGAAAGTTCAACTACGGTTGAACCGGGACTCAGGCCATGAGCCTTCGCCGTCAAAATCGACTAAGTTCAACAACAGTTGAACCGGGACTCAGGCTATGCGCCTTCGCCATTATATCAAGGCTATGCGCCTTCGCCAAAAGTTCAACTACGGTTGAACCAAGACGGGCTACGC